CTCTCTCTCTCTCCCCCCCCCCCCCCCTCTCCCCCACCTGCGTCTTTTTGTTTTTGACCGATTTTTTATTTTTTTCTTTCGGTTTTCACATCTGAATTCCCTTTTCTTCCCGTGTGTGTCATGCCTGGAAGCACGGAGCCCGGCCTTTCAGCAACGACCGGACCTTCCCTTGACCGACCCCCTAAGGCTGCGGTGCATTAACGGGGAAGGCCTGCRGCCGATGTATGGCCCAAGTACTGGTGGTTTAAAGTTTGAATTGTCACTGCTTCCAACGGCCTACCCTCTCAAAGGATCATGACCGTGAAACTTGGGGGCTTGATGAGGGAGGCACTCCACATGTTCATTTATAATAGGCCCAACAAGCCATCTAGTCTATATGGGATATTATTATCTAAGGCCCTGGCCCCGATTGTGCTATGTCCATGCTAAGAAAGCACCAACATGGACTTTTTTACAGCCAAGTTCATGCTTTCCAAGCACAAAGATAGCACCTTTGGCCCTCAGGCCTGCCTAGTATTGATCCCCCCCTCTTCAACTTTGGAGTGAGCCATGGGCGCATGGAATTCAATGTGAAAAGGTGGCCTCTTCATCTGGGTTGGAGTTCTCTATGGTTGTGCTAGGTCAGCAGCTACTAGCTTCCCCTGAACCTAACACACATGGTTACTATATAGATGTATGAATTTTGGGCAAGTCTCAGGCCATGTACATCTATAATGGGCTGGCCAACTTTCAGGACAAGATGCATGTTTTCTGACCAGTTAGGTCCGCCCCTCACTGCCCTCAGTGATGGGGCGCCGATGGGGGCCCGAAGGGCTCCAGAGGCTACCATCTCCGCCCCCGTCCCCTCCCGCCGCCCAGCCCCTTCAAGAACACACAAGGGGGGAGTAATTAGATTCATTCTATTTTTAGTCATAAAAAGACTACTTTGCGAACAGATCGGATATGGACAAGACGATGACAGCCTACATAATCCAGTATTGCGGTCCGCCCCTCGATGATGGGGTGCCAATGGTGACCCCGAAGGGCTCCAGAGACTACCATCTCCACCCCCGTTTCCCCCGGCCTAGCCCCTTTTGGACACACAAGGGGGGAGTAATTACATTCATTCTATTTTTAGTCATGAAAAGACTACTTTGCAAACAGATCGGATATGGATAAGATGATGATATCGCACATAATCCAGTCCTGCCATGAGAAGACCTATGCGGGCGTTAGATGCATGATCAAAGATACAGGATGAAAGATGAAAGGTGAAGAGAAGATAGTCAAAAAGGAGGACTAGGAGGAGGAGGAGGAGGAGGAGGAGGAGGAGGAGAACGACCTAGAAGATAGCCAGTGGAGGGAGGGAAGGAGGTGGGGAGGCAGAGAGGACGAGGGGGAAAAGTCCCGATCTTTAAGGATTCTTGTTCCTGGCGGCCGATCCTCTGACTGAATGCACCCTCATCATAACTGTCTTTTACCAGAAAAAAGATGGCTTGTATACACTCATGACTCATGACAAGGTGGTTGTGTTGAGGGAAGGTGGTACTCTATGTAGGATCGAGAAAGCAAGAGTCCTGGACCAGCCAAGGAGAACCCTCGCAACTGAGACAGGAAAAATCGTCGGAGAGGACTCAGAGTGATGATGGATTGAGGGAAAGTGTAGGGAGCAGGTACATGCAGGCAATATAAAACAGACAGTTTAAATTTCCCATCTTTCCTTGTTTTTTTATTAACTAACCAGCACTCACGCACTCTCTTCCTCCCAAAACAAGAACAAGGCACCTCCTTTCCTGTCCCCTTTTCACTCGTTCTTTCTTACCTCCCTCTCCCCCTTGTCACTCTTTCACTCTCTTCCACCCCCCAACAACTTGAAGAACAAAACACCTCCCTTCTTCCCTATTCTTTCCCCCCTCCCCCCCTTTCCTTCCCTATTCCCTTTACATTCTTTTACTCTCTTCTACCCCCACAAAAACAAGAAACCTCCTTTCTTCCTCTCCCCATTTTTTATTTTTTTTTGCAAATTCAAAATCCCATTACCAAGATGGGAACGAGGCCGGGACGCCTCACAAACAAGCCCAATCAGAACATACTTTTTTTTTTCTTTTTTTTTTTTTGCAGGAAGGGTTGTGAGGGGTGACCCAAATTTTCCAACTCTGGCGAGCCACACAAGCGAATGCTTCTTTTTCAACAGACAACAGAACGAGGAGAGGATGTCCATCAGGAGTCTGGACGCACCGGGTTCAGCCCACCCCCCGGCGGCACAGTGAACCCACCCATACCCAGAGTACAATCAAGCACAGGAGGCACAGCCTTGACCACACACACTGGGGGTATCGACCAAGATCGGTGCTACTAGATCGCCTGCAATGGGGTGCACCGCACTCGAACTCAGGTCGGCCAGTCCCCAAGGGCCCCCTGGAAGCATCACCCAGCTTATAGCTTACGGGGACCAGCACTGCGTGGCCTATGTCACCTTACGACCTTGGGAGCTCTCTCAATAGCTTGTGGATTCTCTCCCCATTTTTCACTCTCTTCTAGCCCCACAAGAAAAAGACGCCACCTTTTTTCCCTCACCCTCTTTCACTCTTTCACTCTCTTTCACTCTCTTTCACCTCTGCAAGAACAAGACTCCTCCTTTCTTTGCCCTCCCCAATCCTTCACTCTCTTCTAGCCCCACAAGAAAAAGACGCCACCTTTTTTCTTCCCTCTCCCTCTTTGACCCTTGCACTCTCTTTCAACCCGGCAAGAACAAGACTCCTCCTTTCTTTGCCCTCCCCTTTTCAATCCTTCACTCTCTTCTATCCCCACAAAAACAAGGCACCTCCTTTTCTTCCCTCCCTCATTAAAATTACCTCCCTCTTGCAGCCTATGGGCGTCGCTCCACTACTCATCAAATTGCAAAATGAAAATGAACCTTATGCTAGAACATGGGAAGATTCGCCGCCATATTTGTTGTCTTTTGTGCATGTGGTGAGTAGTGCAGCCAGGCCCTATGCCCCGACGGGCACACTATTTACGCCAAGCCAACTGGTATCTTTGCTGTTATATATATCGTCACAAACAGAACTGCCCGGTAAACCGTAGGCAGAGAGAGAGAAGAGGACAACATATATATATATATCTTCTCTCTCTCTGCCTACGGTTTACCGGGCATTTCTGTTTGTGACGATATATATATATATATATATATATATATGCTGTTGAACGCAGCACTGAGGCCGAGATTCCGCTACTACCTTCCA